GTTCTCTCGAAGTTCTTCTGTCCCACGCTAGTAGAGCCGTCCAGCATGAAGACAATGTCAGTTGGCTCATTAAACCCAGCTGAAAAATGTGAAAGAGGTCAGAACAGTCGCACATTCTGAATAATAATTCCGTGACTGTTCTGAGAATTTGTGCAAGAACTTTAAAAGAAGTTTGTTATCATTAACAAAACTGGCAAGCGTGGACAATTAGATGATAACAAAAAGTACACTTCTCGCCAGCTATAAATAATCAGGAATTTCTGTCAGTGCATTTTCCAGTTTGCTTACACTCAATGTCAAGCCATTCCTTGGACACATAAACACAGCATTTTATTTGTTACTGGATATGAAGCACAAAATATGTTACATGCTTAATATTTTAATTAAAAATGTTTTTTTCATAGATTTTTTCCTTCTAATAAAAAAAAACAATCCGCTTGTACCTTGTTAAACCCATTAGACTTTCATAAGGACAGTGCTTGAACTTTGCAAAGTTACAGCCTTGTTGTGTCACCAAATCATGTCTCTGGGTAGTAGGCATGTAATGTGGTGTTGTGGGTAACTGAGACGACCAGGCAGCCCTCTGTCTGAACTGACGGCACGCATCAGCAGTGCTCCTAAGGTACCTGCCCCATACTGTCATTTCAGTAACACCGTGCTAAAAACAACAAATACACTGTACAGGCAGACTTACCAGGGCAAGTGTAGTCTGGACACTTACTGTCTGAAATGCAAAACAAAGTGAAGAGCACTTATCAGTCAATATTCACCAAGAGGTATACTTCATGCACATACAGTACCCTGCAATCATCATCGTTAAGTAAGTGCGTGTAAAGTCCAATTATTACGAGCAAATCTGACAGAAATATTTTTGCTGCATGATTTAAGGAAATAACTGAAACAGTCTTCTTAAAGGAGGACTGTTCCAAGCTTTAAAGTACAATGGACACGGATTCCATAACTCAGGTATACATATTGAGAGCTAGTAAGAATACATACCACCCGCACGAATTATGGCAACTATAATTAAATCATTCTCAGATGTCTTTCTTACAGTTGAGGTAATGGAGCGTTTTTCTTTAAGAAGTGCCAAAATTACATCGCATGTTTCCTCTTGCGTGGGGTATCAGCCACAAAAAATGCTCTGTACTCTTTGCATAATATAGATCAGTGTCCGATTTTTGTTTTTTTGTATTTTGGGAAAAGGAAGCAAGCGTACTTCTTATGTTTGTGCTCACACGTTCCGTGTTTTTCAGCCGTTATGTTTTAATTTAAATTGGAAGCAAAAAGTACCCCCAGTGTGGAAGAAGAAAAACACATTCAGCACAGAAATGGGTCGCACACTTTCTATTCGGCTTTGTGAACGGAATCGGAATCATTTTAGTGTTTGGTGTTGCAGCAGAACCACCCAGAGAGACAAGGCTACGCCCACACCATTCACAGTCCAATGCAAGTAATCATCGTGTTGCTGCTGTCAGTAGCTCGGGTTCCTTCGCGCTAGAACAACCACACCACCACTGGGATCTGATGGGAGTTCGTCTGATAACTGATGACGAATGTGTTTTGCAACAATTTTAAAACAAAAAAAAACGGCATTGATCACTAGATCTCTTGTTCGCTGAAGTGGATTATAGTTTTATAGCAATGATGTAAAATGCAGAGTATTAAACAAACCTAATTGCATATACAGTACGTTTCACACGCTATGCGTTTATTTTGTAAAGTAAACGTAAGGAAATACCTGCGCACGTCTAGGTTTCAACTTTTGAAACCGGTATTCCCTAAATTCAGTTTTTAGGCTGTATGATCCCTCACCCCTAGGTGTCAGACTTTAACCGCTTGTTAAAGAGCGATTCCAGAGAGCTGCAGACACCCGCGGCTTTAATTTCAAGCGAGACACGATCATGCTACAGTAATACAGCTTTCAACAGCGGTGACCTTTCTGCATGAAAGAAGCGTAGAAAAAAATGTTTTTAAACGGTGCATTTAACCTTTTGTATCATGGCATGCAATAAGTACAAGTAGAGGTTAATTCCATGCTGAAAGGAGAAGAAAAGAAACACAACGTTTCGGCTGTGGAGCCTTCTTCGGGTGTCAATAGCCTTCAATAGCCTTGGATAAACCTGAAGAAGGCTCCACAGCCGAAACGCTGTGTTTCTTTTCTTCTCCTTTCAGCAGGGAAGACACCTCTACTTGTTCCTTTGCAGCCTACGCATGCTGACGCAGCTCCCTACTTGAACTATGCAATAAGTACTTCTATTATCTACAGTATATTGTTGCCAAATATATCTGTTATTATACCTTTGATGTTTAACAACTGACCTTTATATTCGAAAAGGCTGACTGAAATGAATGAATAAACGAATAAAGAGAGGGACTCGAACTCCCGTGCGACCCTGTTTTGGATAAAGAGGTTAGAAAACGGAAGGATGGATGAATAAAACTGTAATCTGGAAGAAATTACTGTACAGAATTAGGGAATGCCCCCTCTCTGATCTGATGACAAGAATTTGGTTGTGGGGGGAAAAAAATCGTGCATGTGACTTCAAGTGTAGACTGAGTTTTTTACACTTTTGTGAAACTCAGTGTTTCACATGAATGTACACGCATGAATGAAAGAAAAAGTAATGAAAATAAATTAGGGTGTAATTTGTTCCAGTTTGATTTTCCAGTTGTAGTTCCCATGTATCTAAACTAATAAAATTACACAAAGGGAAGTTCTTATTAATTATATTGTATATAATCAGCCGGGGTTCCCGAATTATGGTCCGTGTCCCCCTGGCGGCCTGTGAATGTTACTACAGGTGATCCGCGGAAAGAAGAATAAGTCGTGATACCGGATTTAAGGCTAAACCTTTTACCACTTTAGCCTGAAATACCAGTTTTGAAGGTGAGCAAAACAGCAACGTCCATCTCATTCAGTATTCTCATTCTGCATACCCTCTCACGTATGTGCTGCTGTGCTTCACCGATTTATTTATCGAGGTAACAAATAAGAATTTCACATAGTTTAAGGTGGGAACTTTACCAATGTTTACCGAGTGCAGATACATTCTTTGCTATTGCTTGAGATTTACATATATCACGGAGGGAAAAAAAGAAATAAATACCGCAGGGAAGTCCGCGAAAAGGTTTGGAAACTGGAAAGGGGTCTGGAAACAACACAGCAGCCTGGGTGCTGCTGGACCTGGTTAAGAGTCTATCTGGCTGTAACGCCAGTACCTTCACAAATGTAGCTGGTGACGTTCTCAAAGAAGGATTCCTCCAGAAGTTGGGCATGGTCAGTGATCTTCAGAAACAGCCCCGGCTTGGGAGTGGACTGACAGGTAATCTCCTGTAACATGGTTGTGTATGGGGACCTGCGGAAAATGTCACCGATCCCAATGCCCACCACCTGCAAGGAAGGACGTGGAGGTTGTCATCTCCTTCAGGAATGCTCAGAGCAGGAATATACAGTACTGTAAGGCAGGGGGTTTCAACCTTTTTGACATGCGCCTCCCCAACCCCAAACCCATTGAGAAAACAATGCGCACGCCCTCGTCACACTCACTCACGCAATGTAATTGACATGATGTATGCATGGGAACAAGTAACAGGTTTATTCCATGCTGAAAAGAGAAGAAATAAAACACAACGTTTCGGCCGTGGAGCCTTCTTCAGGTGTCAGTACGCATGTATACATACATGCATTTCAACGCCTTTCATTAATTTGCTTTAACAGTTTCACGTTCACCGCTGTTGTTAACTTCAGCAGTAAGCCACCGGTCCATCTTTAAGTTTGTAATGGTGGTATAAGGCGAAGTCTCAATTCTGCGGCAGCCTTCGCCAAGGAGAATAGACGGCAGGTAGCCCGCTTAGCCAGGGACATGAGCCAGATTGCAACACCCCCCTCTAGTGGGTGAATAATGAATGGCTATGAACGACTGAAACAACGTGTTCGCTGCAGCTGTTTCTTTCTTTTTCGTTTTACTGCGCCTAAATGTCTCGTAATCTGGCGCCCCCCAGGTCGAAAACCCCTGCTCTAAGGTAGCGAGGATCTACTTCTTCTGCCTCTCTCACAGACAGGAGCTAGGAAAAGGAATACAGCAAGTCTTGCTGGACAATGTGATTTGAAAGACATTTATAAAAGACTTCATGAGCAGCAAGAGAGAACTACGCAACGGGGTTTTTGGACAACACATTTTCTTGTCGTAATTGGTGTCTGTTTGTGACTGAAGTTACATTTTCACTCCCCCCCCTACAGCCTTTCTGCGGGTGCAGTGGATACTCACTCGGATGTTGGGAATGTTGCACAGGGAAGACAGCGGTTTGGAGTCCCGGGTGTCTGACCTGCCATCAGTCAGGACGATGGCCACTTGATTCGAGAGCTGCGATGTGCCGAAGGCCTGCCTGGCAAAGTCCAGCGCCTCTCCCGTGTACGTGCCCCCAGCGATCCAGCGCATGTTCTTCACCGCACTGCAACACAACGATGCGTCAGAGCGTCCCCCGAGTGAGGTACACCCCGTTACACCCCCCCAGTGTAACGTTTGATCTATCTTCCCCTGGATGTAAGAGACGTCTCCTGTCTTCTGCACGATGGGAACTCAAGAGGGAACAGACCCTCTGCTGCATGTGTGAGACAACAAAGAGCTCCAGGGCCCCATACCCCGATAGCGTGTCTGACCTTTTGAGCTGAGAGAGAGTTGTGATGTTGGGGTCATCCATGGACACCAGCTCCTGCGTTCCTTCATGGCTGTACTGCACGACTCCCACACGCGACCCAGGCTCATTCTGAAGACACAGACAGTTGTTGAAACTCCCCCCAGCAGTGTTGAAACCCATTGTGGCAGCATCATCGTTCTTGCTCAGATGCTGTGGTCAGGCCCTCACGGGTCCCACCTTGTTGCTCCCGATCTTGGTGACCTTGTTGATGACGCGGATGATGAACTGCTTCTCCAGGGTGAAGTTCTGCAGCCCCACACTCTCTGAGCTGTCCAGCACAAACAGCAGCTTGACGGGGCCACAGCTGCACTCTGGGGCAGACAGGCACAGAGCACACACTGTTGCCACACGGCGCTCTGCTGACTCTGTTACCACTTGAGTTTCCAAGTACAAGAAAACACTCACCACAGCACGCTGCAAAAGAAAAGACCAACATAATTGTAAAACACAGCACTAAATATATACACTTAAAACCCTATTCTGACTTCACAGGGATTTACTGTGTTTACTGATAGAAGTCTGGCTGTGCATGGATAATTAAACCTGCAGACACGAATGACATGTGTCTTTATTCACACAGGTGGGACTGCACATTGGTGGCGGCTGTGGGATTCTCCATTACCTGTAATGTTCTTTGAGTGGAGTGTCCAGAAAAGTGCTATAGCAGTGTAAGGAATTATTAATTAGTATTATTATTCTCCAGGGGAACTGTGTTAAACTGTGTTAAAATGTTGAAAACTGATATTTTCTAACAGAGGTTGTTGGATATCTGGATGTTGCCTGGGGCTATGAATGTTTACATACAGTAAATAAAATAATTTAATTATTTTTGCTACAGTATCGTAACATCCTTTAAGAGGTTTACAGGTAAAATTAGTTGTGCTAATTAATTAATTAGTTGTGCTAATTAATGTTTTTCTACACTATCCTGGTCAATACTAGCAAATGAAAAGGAAAAAGCTGACTTTTAAATTACAGCCAAAAGACAGCTGCTCCAGTCCATGTGGTCAGTTCCAATACAATGTAACTATACAGTATGTAAATATTTAGACTGTATATTTGAATCCGTCAGCACCGTAAATCAGATGCTATTATACAAACAATAATAGACACTAAATAAAATAAACTAAATAATAGACATTTAAGAATTTGGCTGGTGTTGAAAAAATGTCATGAACTTTGGATTTCTTAGTTTAAACTTGTATTCCTTTTGGCACAACCATTGCCAAAAGATAGGTTCTGAAATTTATGTCAAAGCAAATTAATTTACCACGAATTGAAATATCAAGAAAGGGGAGTGCAATCAGCTTCTAACACAGGCTCCAAATGGAGTGCCAAGGACATTTCAGTAACATCACTCATACAAGGTCTCTCTGGTAAAATATACAGTGCTTTGCAAAAGTATTCACTCCTTTCCAATGATGCCCCATTACAAAAAGTGTATACACAAGTTTTAAATTAATGTTTTTAATCAAATATGAATGATAGAACTGAATGATTGTGTGAGTGAAAGAAGTTGAATGTCAACAAAAACTGCAAAGAAAATACTTGAATGAAAAAAAATGGATTAATTAAGTATTCACTCCCACCGTTACAGCAAAGCTAAAAATAGTTCAGGCACAAACTTGCTATGACAGGTCACGTAATTAGCTGAATGTTCTCTGACTGTGTGCAGTAATGTTGGTCCACATGATTTCAGAATAACCCCACCTGCATCTGTGAGGCATCTTAGGCAGGTAGTGAATTTTAAGCAAATATTCAACCATGAAGACAAAGGAGGTTTTAAGACAAAATGAATAAAGTTTTAGAAAGGCATGGATTTGGATAAGGGTATAAAATTTTTCAAAGATACTGATTATTCCTTTGAGCACAGTACGGTCAATCAGTACGAAGTTGAAGGCATATTGCACCACCCAGCTGGGCAAGCAGGAAACTGTTTAGGGAGGCCAACAGCGACTTTGAAAGACCTACAGAGTTCAACGGCTGAGATAAGAAAAAATATTCACGAGTCAATAATATCCCAGTCACTCCACAAAGCTGGCCTGGATGGCATAATGTCAAAACCATCTGGCCACTGGGCGTTTCAGAGCTCCTGGAAAAGCTGTTGTGGGTCGGGCAAGTTAAAACTGGAACTTTATGGCCTAAACTCAAGACTCCAAGTGGAAATTAGAGGGAGGACAAAGGACCGGAAACTGGGGCAAAAATTAGTCTTTCAACACGACAATGACCCAAAGCCCAAGGTCGAGGCCACACTTTCACTCATCTGTCATTCAGCTCCTCAAGTGATCAACAGCCACACCCAGGATCTGAGCTCACAGCCCTCCAGTTGCAGGTCCAGAGCCCCAGCCTGGACTTGTCTTGTGTTCTTGGCCTAGACGCTCAGCGGTTAAGCCGGCCCCTTCACTGTTTTTGAATTTCCTGCAGGATACTTACAGCAGAGTTTCCGAATGACCTCCAGTATTTCACACTCCTGTAAAACACAGAGGTACGCATCTTTGGTAAACAACAATGCTTACAGTACAGTCCGGAACACAGTTGACTCCGGACAACAGAGAGTGCACAACAAGTGTCGGCGTTGCAAAGAAGAAAGAACATTCTGCAACAAACGTCTTACAACTTCAGGCTATTTACCATTGAGCTAATAATGATTTAAAATGAACACCCTTAGATTGCAGGTTAACAAATCTTCAACAACCCCTTCAATGACTTGAGTGTTTTACATTGCTGAGATGGAATCACATAATGAAGACGGGTTAATGAGTCGGATGGCCTCCTCTCGTTTGTAAGCCGACACTTGTCTGGAGGATTCTGCACTGTAATCATAAACCTCCCTAACCTAACAGTACTTTGCGGTGTGACTCAGTCTCTGTTGACTTTATAGCCATCAGCCCATCTATGTTCCCTTCCTCACACTGTCCTGTGCATAACCAAAGACTTACTCATGTCACTTACATCAGAGCCAGGGGAGCCTACTGGTCCAGGAGAGCCCTGAAGGAAGAAGGACAGAGCAGTAACATCTCACTAGTGCTGCGTGATATGTGCTTCGGCTCTTTTAAAACTAAACTCTTAATTTAAGAGGAGGGAAAAGAAGAAATAAAAAGAAGTTATAGCACTGAATTATAATGCTGCAATACATCCTTCCACATGTAAAGCGCTTTTAATCCCAAAGGATCCCAAAACATTTCACATACAGGAGGGCACTCACATTATCCTCCACCGGCGTTCAGCTCTCATCTTGGAGAAGCACAGCATCTATTCTGCACCAGCAGAGCACGAGGTGGATCAAGTAATTACCACACCAGTCGAAGGGGGGAAGATGGATTGGTCAGGGCCACAGAGGAATTGACCCAGAAGGGTGTCATGGGATCTACAGTATGCCTGTATAACAACCTGCAGTGCTGTGGTCCACACCCAGCGGGATGAGAGAACTGAAACGTGTGTCAGATCTTTGGCTTTTGTAGCATGTGTCGTCTGCAATTGTCTACAATCGGTGAAATGTGAAGACAAAGTGGTCATATTGAGCTTTGAACACTTTTGGAAACACGTCTGCCTCCAAGTCCAGCAGTGATGATTCCAGTACAGTATACAACTGTGTGTTAAAAACAGAAAAAGCAATAGAAAACTATTTTTCGGTTGCTTAAATGAAAAAATAAAAACCCACACAGGTGGCACTGTCTGTGTTAATTGGGATCTGTAAACTGGCCTCTGGCCTGTGTCTGAGTGCACGTGGGCCCTGTGGTGGACTGGTGTCCTGTCCAGGGTGTCTGGGTGCGCGTGGGTCCTGTGGAGGACTGGTGTCCTGTCCAGGGTGTCTGGGTGTGCGTGGGCCCTGTGGTGGACTGGTGTCCTGTCCAGGGTGTCTGAGTGTGCGTGGGCCCTGTGGTGGACTGGTGTCCTGTCCAGGGTGTCTCCTGCCCAGCACCCACGGTCTGCTGGGATGTCGCTCCAGCTGACCACAACCCTTTGATGGACTGCGAGCTGACTGGAAAAAGCTAAAGCATAAATGCATGCATACATACATATTCACCCCGAAGGCCTGGATATCCCTTTGGTCCTTTGGGTCCCTCTTTACCTGGCAGCAAATTCTAGACACCAACAACACATGGAAAACCTTTAATACACGACTCACACATTTAAGGCCCAGCAGAATACCTCACTAGCTTTTACACTTGTCTGCGATAAAAGTTGAAACCATTGTCCCATCATCTAACTGATACTTTGGTCTTCAGGAAAAAGAGGGAAGACGTCCTACTGCTTTGTTTACGGGAAACGCTTTCTCCTCTTGGCCTGATTTAAGTCACTCTGTTTCTTTTTTCTGAACAAATGCGCTTAAATCCTAATGCCTTACACAGCATTCTGTCAGACAAGTATTGATTTTTAGCCAGGTTTTAATTACAGACAGTCAATAAGAAGTAAAGTCATCTTAATAAGACAGCAAGTATTGTACTGACGTAGTAATTAATTAATTGCTTACACTTATATGGCGCTTTTCTGGACACTCCACTCAAAGCGCTTTACAGGTAATGGGGACTCCCCTCCACCACCACCAATAGATACAATGTATTGAATTGCAATACACATGCATTCTAGGGGAATTCATTCTCCCAATGATTTTTGTTTCAAAAGAGTGACCACACTTTTGCTGCCAGTCTTTGTGTACTATTATCACCCCTTTCCTCCCTCGGGCAGTGGTCACTCTTTCTCTCCTGCAGCTGCACGACTGCCAGGCTGCCAAAGAGACCAGCAGCTCTGTAGCTCAAGCACGCAGTTCGGAGATCTTACATCATCTCCTCGGTCTCCCGGCAGCCCCTCATCGCCCTTCAGGCCCGGGAACCCCCTGACGCCCTGTGAGGAACAGAAGGAGCGGATGCAGACTCAGGGGCCTGGCTGCAGACTGCAGGCCGGCCTGTTGTTTGTGTTCTTTGGGGCGAGTGCAGCGGCGTGTTTCAAACACTCATCAACAGGAAACTGTGTAGGGGGATATTGGAACTGCACTGTGCTGGAGTTAAAGTGTCTCCAGTCCTTATCAGCCTGGGATGTTTAGTTTTGAGAAGCGCTATTTATAACCACAGTATTGAAGAAGCGGTGAAGCACAAAAACTTTAAGAAGACTTCAATTTATTTGTCAGCGTTTGCGGCGTTTGTTTATGTCATGCCATATGTCAGTGGCTATGACATTGCTCAGCACAATAGCTCAGTTGTTACAGCTGTCGTGTGTAGCAGGATCCGCCAATGAAAAAAAATAAACTTAAAAAGAATTGTTTTGCTTAGACTTTTCTGATCTTGTTCTGGCAAAAGTATAATCACACTAGCGTGAAGTGCCTGTTTTGTGCTCTCACTCCTAAAGACTGCAGTTTAGGCGGTAGAGTGTGAAGCTGTACAAATGTGGACCTTAATTCTCTACATGACACCATGTTACAATGCCCATGTCTAATTGTTGCAATTCTGAACTTTACCTTCAGGCCTGGGGGTCCCCTTAATCCCGGAAATCCCTAGAGAAGAAACAAATTAAATACTATGATGGTCCATTTTAAATCAAAACCTTTTGGTGCACATCTTTAATTTTTAGGTTTTGACCCCCCAAAAAAACAGCGTTTTACTGTTATTCACTGGTTTTACACTGTTAACTGATGTGATATTGTAAGAACATAAGAAAAATGACTAACGAGAGGAGCCCATTTAGTACATTTGGTAGTTAGTGACTAACTGATCTCCTCCGGTTTTTTCTTGAAAGAAGCCAGGGGTCGGGAGACATGGCTGAGTGGCCTGTTTCATACTTTCTCACCACTTTGTGTAATAAGTGTCTCCTATTCTCAGATATAAATGCTGTTTCACTGCTGAAACTGAAGACGTCCCCTGGATTGACAGTGTCTGTACCCTTGAGGACTGAGTACTTGGATTAGGTCCCCTTGTAGTCTTCCCTGCCTGAGACTAAAAAGATTCATCTCTTCTATCTTGTCGGTGTAGGTACCATACGAACCTAAACTTTTAAAGTGACCTAATGTGACAAAGCCTTTGCGGAAACACTTTGAGATAGTGCTTCTCACGAAATGGCAATCTAAAAAATTAAATAGGAGGACTGCTCATGAATTGAGAGGTGACCTGAAATCCTGGATATCCCAGTATTCCTTGTCCTTGTACACCATCTTCTCCCTGATAAAAAAAAAGCACAGCAATGATGTAATTAACTGAACAAAGAGCTAAGATAAACAAAGGAAAGAAATATTTAATTTAAAATAAAGCTCTATTCCAGGAAAGCTGTATGTTGTCACACACTTCAGGCAAGAAAGTGCGGAAAATAGAAAGAAGCAGTAACCTCATCAGGGTATATTCAGAGCAAGCTGCTTCATTTCCATGATGACCAAGATATTAGTACAGCACCCCAGAGGCTTGCAGGGCAATGAGAATGGAGCTCTCAGGTGCAGTAGAAGAACGAAGAGCTCACACTTACTCTTTCACCTGTAGGTCCTGGCTCTCCCACAGGGCCTGACTGGCCCTTTGTACCTGGTGTGCCCTGGGATTAAAACAAAAATGACAATGTGACAGTAATCACCCTTTACATACTGCACCTGTGTGACGGGTATCAGAAAAAAGAGCCAATAACTGGCAAGTATCAGAGTGTGTTGTTTAATTTCCACTCCTTTCTGTCTCTTATTTCTAAACAGGCCTCTGTGATGTCTGAGGGCATGTATTGATGATTGGCAAGTACTGGGTTGTGAATGTTACCTTATGGGCATCTAGGCAAACCGTGACAATGGCTGCCACTGGGCTAATTCAACGTGAAAGCAGGAGCTCTAAAATGAAAGAAGGAATGATTAAGAACAGTAGATAAGATAAAGATCAGTAGAGCCTTTGCTGACCAAGAAGTGGACAAGGGGGAGTAGTGTCAGGTATACAGTACAAGGTGTATGAGTATAAGATGCTGAATGAGTGAAATGCATCCATGTTGTTTGTGTTTATTGTGTTTGAGTGGCACAATCCAGTTAAAAGTGGACCGTCAAATCGGTGGAGCTATAGTCCTGTAGCTGACGGCAGGCTCAATACGAATCCACTCGCTACGTCTACCTACCTCTGCCCCTAAAGGGCCCGGTTCCCCTTTGTAGCCCTTCAAACCAGTGACTCCATTTTCGCCCTTAAAAAAATAAAAACGAGGTATGAGACGCGGAGGCACAGCTTTCGACGCCACACGTGTTTGAACAGCTCTGCAAGATTTTGAAAAGACACTTACTCTCGACCCGATCAAGCCTGTGGGCCCCTCGTGCCCTGGCGCCCCCACAGGGCCGGCAGTTCCCTGAAAAAGAACAAACACGCTAACTCAAACTGAGCAAGTAAAGGTTCACTCCACGCTGAAGAAAGGAGAAACACAACGTTTCGGCTGTGTAGCCTTCTTCGGGTGACCCAAACGTTGTGTTTCTTTTCTTCTCTTTTCAGCGTGCAATAAACCTTCACTTGTTCCTTTGCAGCCTACTTGAACTCACTCCAGCTGATAGCATTCAGCCAAAATCCCTTGCTATCCACCTGCTGCTCTGACATTGATTCTTCAGCTCCCTCTTTTTCAGATCACTTTTCAGTAAATGAGTCACCATTAACAATAAAGGCTGGATAAATGTCCTACAATTGTGTTCAGCCAAGTACAGAGAGATCAGGGGTAACAGAGTCTTGATTACACATCTTCTGGGGGTTCACCACAATTAATACATTTTGGACATATGCGTTGGGTTACATACTGTATCAGGTCCTATTTTCCCCAATCCCCCAGAAGTCCTGTTATGCCCTCTACCTCAGTTAACACTATCAAAGCTCGGCAAGTGAGTTTTTTTGCAGGGGTGGCTGCAGCAGGGAAGCCCGGCTGCACTGTCACTATGCTGGCAGGCTGGGACACAGCTAACAGGTAAAGTTGCTCAGCTCACATGACGTGTCGTGTTCCGTGTCTAAGTATTTTTCTCCTCCCCTCCCCCTTTTCACATCTTTAGCTTTTTTATCTAAAACACCGGAATGTACACTGTCAATCCCTGGGGAATGTGTCTGTAGTCTGTCTTGTTCTGCAGTTCCTTCTCCCAAGGGGCTGGGGTTTAAATATATTTAATAAAAATAAAGGAACTGTTCACGAAATTGGGTGGGATTTACCTTGTCGCCTCGAACACCTCTGACCCCGGCCGGGCCTCTCAGTCCCTTCTCTCCTTTTGGCCCCTAGTAGAAAACATGGGAAAGAGTTCCATCCTGGGAGTTTTTACTTTCCTTTTTCACAGCTTCGTGTTGTACAGGAAGAGTAAAATGTCTTTTTCTTCGGAATACAATACCAACAAGATATATGAAGAACACAACATCATATAAACAATACTAGCAGACATAGAAACATGACAGACAGGAACTGAAACCAATTTACTGTAATTGAAATGTCTCTCTGTATCGATTTACAGAATAATTCCTTATATATACATATTTCAATGGCTTCCAATTCTATATTGATAAAATAAAGATATTGTAGGAAGACCATAAACCAGATATGGCAGTTTTGTCTGTCTATACAGATGTCAGAGAGCAAATCATTTTCAAAAGAATAACGTCCAGCATCCTTTTTGGCTGTTGGTGTTTACCAACCCATTCTAAGTAATTGACATAAAAACGAGAACAGTAAATAGCATGAAAGGTACAATTTTTCAAATCGATTTAAACATGTTCTAAAAACAATCCGGAAAACATTTTCAGCTGCGCTCATTTGTTTTGTAGAGTGGATGTGAGTGTAGTGCCAAGAATGACAAAGATCTTTTTCATTTGTTCTTAAATTACCAGTGGCTACAGACCCAGGAATAACAGAAGTACGTGATTGGTCTGGCTAAGTACCAGATGAGAAGGAAATCTGGCAGAGTAATGATCTACTCCTGATGAACTACAGACGTTTGTAGGTTTCATCATCTCTTTTCAGTGAAAGACCTAATTAAACAAATTATTTGCCTAACTGCGTGAAGGCAGCCAATGTGTCTGGGTTTGCGCCGTGGGTGTGTGGCTCGGGAAACGGTGAAAGAGAAAAAGTACAGGCGTTCACAAATGACAAAAGGAAAGTGATTTTTAAATGAAGCCCAGTGGATGTAACCACCAGCTGCTTCTTCAACAAATCCAGCAGTCTTTTTTAACTGCTTTGTTGGTAATGAAGCTGTACTGGTAATGAAGGCCCGCTGAGAATTTTTAATGAAAGCCTTTGTATAACATCAGGTAAGAAGAACTGTTGCTCAAGTAATTTATACTGTTCAATTTTAAAAGTCCATACATGCGAGGTTCATAACCACAGTAAATGTTTTGTTAATTTGTGTTAAAACAAGCCTTTGGGTTATTGTATTTGATTCATGAACGCTTCATGAATGTCTTTATCTATTTGATGTATGTACCTTTTTCCCAGGAACTCCTGTACTGCCAAAATCCCCCTATTAAAAAAACAGAAAAGATAGTTTTCAAAGGAAGTCTTGGCTGCTTCTTGGTTGTGACGGGAGGCATGAATTGGGCCGATTTGATCTTTTTAATAAGGACTGGATGCCAATTTGTTTTTACTCAGTTTTATGATTCCTTTTCAGTTTAAGAAATGAGTCAAATTAATCAACACGGTCCACACCTGAGATTTCCCTCTCCCTCTAAAAGTCTTGCCAGTGTTACATGGAAATTAACACAAATCGAAAGCAGGATGTCATAGTTCAACAAACCACAAACATACCATACATATTCTCAACTTGTTTAACAACGTCTTGACAAAAA